CCCGTGGCTTAGCGGTTAAGTGCGTGCGCTCTGATGCTGGTGGCCCGGGTTCGGATCCCGGGCGTGCACAGACCCAGCGCTTCTCCCGCCATGCTGAGGCCGGGTCCCACATACAGCAACTAGAAGGATGTGCAACTATGACATGCAACTATCTACTGGGGCTTTGGGGGAAAAAAATAAAAAAAAAAAAAAATTAAAAAAAAAAAAAAAAAGAAACTAACAAAAAACAAGACAATTTTGGTCAAAAGTCTCATCCTTTAATACTTGAGTAATGTTTCTCTTTCACCTTTTTATTCTTCAAAAAATTACTGTTTCATCATAGTTGTAAATTTTCATGAAAAACCTAATTTGCATTCTATAAATCAGCATCTTTTTGTTATAATGTCGCCTTAGCCTTCATTTTATTGCAACAAGAAATTCTCTGTGGGACTTTTCTTGCCCCCAAATAGATCCCTAAACTAAGGCACAATGGAGGCTAACTACCCACATTCTAAAGAAAGACTTCAACAGCAGAGGTAACTCCTCCCGGGCTTAGTAAGAGGTGGCAGTACTGGCTGGCCCCACATCCGAATCATTATCGCTTCCCCTTCCCATCTCAATCCCTATGAAGAACCACTGTATTAAATAATCCATCTATTCTCCCCATTAATGAGTGATCTCTATTTTACCACAGATTAACTATTTCATGTAATACAGTCTAGTTTTTCCCTTTCTACTTGGTACCATTAATAAATACTTCTCTTTGGGAATTAATACTACATGTTTTAAATATTTTCCCTTGAATATATTTTAATATTTGCCAGGGTTCTTGCTCTTCTTTATTGTTCTTTTCAAATAATCTGTATGTCATTCCATTTATTACTTCATATCAATTTATAATTATTTTTGCTGAGTTCAAAGTGGCAAAAACAATAAGAATTTTGTGTGTGATTTGTTTACAATTCTAAATTAACATTTAGATCTTCCAAATATTTATACTTCTCATCCAAGAACACAGTGTGTATATATCATTATTTTATTCTTCCTTACATCACTCAAAACAAATTTGTAATTAATTGCATTAGACTATCCTCTTGCCAATTTTTAACAAATTTAAGAAAAATATATAATTCATTATTAAAGCAATACTGCATCAAGACCAAATAACCTTACTTTATTGAATCAAAGATGGGTCATCTAAACAAATATATACATTTTATTTTACTTTTTTTTATTGAGGTAACACTGGTTTATAATATTATATAAATTTCAGGGGTACATCATATTTCCATTTCTGTGGAGATTACATCACGTTCATCACCCAAAGACTATCATCTGTCACTGCCCCATTACCCCTTTCACCCTTCTCCCTCTCCCTTTCCCCACTGGTAACCACCAATTTAATCTCTGTATCTATGTGTTTGTTGTTGTTGTTGCTGTTTTTATCTTCCACTTATGATGAAATAATATCGTATTTGACTTTCTCTGTCTGGCTTATTTCACTTAACATAATACCCTCAAGGCCCATCCATGTTGTCCCAAATGGCAAGATTTTATCTTTTTTTATAGCTGAGTAGTATTCCATTGTGTATGTATACAACATCTTCTTTATCCATTCATCTGCTGGCGGGGACCTCGGTTGCTTCCAAGTCTTGGCTATTGTGAATAATACTACAATAAACATAGGGGTGCATATATCTTTATGCATACTTGTTTTCATGTTCTTCAGATAAATACCCAGCAGAAGAGCTGGATCATATGGTAGCTCTATTCTTAATTTTTTGAGGAATCTTCATACTGTTTTCCATAGTGGCTGTACCAGTTTACATTCCCACCAGCAGTCTGTGAGGGTTCCCTTTTCTCCACATCCTCTCCAACACTTGTTATTTCTTGTCCTGTTATTTATAGCCATTCCGACAGGTATGGGGTGATAACTCATTGTAGTTTTGATTTGCATTTCCCTAATAATTAGTGATGTTGAATATCTTTTCATGTGCCAGTTGCCCACCTGTATATCTTCTTTGGAAAAATGTCCGTTTGCCCATTGCTTAATTGGGTTGCTTGTTTTTCTGTTGTTGAGTTGTATGAGTTCTTTATATATTCTGGATATTAACCCTTTATCAGATATATGATTTGCAAACATCTCCCAATTGTTAGGTTGTCTTTTCATTTTCTTGATGGTTTCCTTTACTGTGCAGAAGCTTTTTAGTTTGATGTAGTCCTATTTGTTTATTTTTTGTTTTGTTTCCCTTGCCTGGGGAGGCACGGTATTCAAAAAGATACTGCTAAGACAGATGTGAAAGAGCATACTGTCTGTGTTTTCTTCTAGAAGTTTTATGGTTTAAGGTCTTACATTCAAGTCTTTAATCCATTTTGAGTTAATTTTTGTGTATGGTGTAAGATAATGGTTTACTTTCATTCTTTTGCATGTGGCTATCCAGTTTTCCCAATACCATTTATTGAAGAGACTTTCCTTTCTCCACCGTATGTTCTTGGCTCCCTTGTCAAAAATTAGCTGTCCGTAGATGGGCGGGTTTATTTCTGGGCTCTCAATTCTGTTCCACTGATCTGTGTGTCTGTTTTTGCACCAGTAACATACTGTTTTGATTAATATAGCTTTGTAGTATATTTTGAAATCAGGAAGTGTGATACCTCCAGCTTTGTTCTGTTTTCTCAGGATTCCTTTGGCTATTTGGGGTCTTTTGTTATTCCATATAAGTTTTACAATTCTTTGTTCTATTTCCATGAAAAATGTCATTGGGACTTTGATAGGGATTACACTGAATCTGTAGATTGCTTTAGGAAGTATGGACATTTTAACTATGTTAATTCTTCCAATTCACGAGCATGGAATGTCTTTCTATTCCTTTGTGTCTTCTTCGATTTCTTTCAACAATGTTTTACAGTTTTCAGTGTACAGGTCTTTCACCTGTTTGGTTAAATTTATTCCTAGGTATTTTATCCTTTTTGTTGCAATTGTAAATGGGGTTGTATATTCTTAATTTCTCTTTCTGCTGCTTTGTTGTTAGTATATAGAAACACAACTGATTTTTATACCTTGATTTTGTACTCTGCACCTTTACTATATTTGTTCATTATTTCTAATAGTTTCTTGGTGGATTCTTTAGGGTTTTCTATATGTAAAATCATGTCATCTGCAAATAGTAACAGTTTTACTTTTCCCTTTTCAATTTGGATCCATTTTATTTCTTTTTCTTGCCTGACTGCTCTGGCTAGGACTTTCAATACTATGTTAAATAGGAGTGTGCGCAAAAGAGGGCATCCTAGTCTGTTCCTGTTCTTAAAGGGATAGCTTTCAGTTTTTCACCACTGAGTATGATGTTATCCATGGGTTTGTCATATACGGCCTTTATTATGTTGAGGTACTTTCCTTCTATACCCATTTTTTTCAGAGTTTTTATCATAAATGGATGCTGTATCTTGTCGAATGATTTCTCTGCATCTACTGAGATGATCATGTGATTTTTATTCTGCATTCTGTTAATGTGGTGTATTACACTGATTGGAAATATATTATTATAACATCGCATCAATAGGTATATAGAGAAATTTTATGGTCACCTCAATAGATGCCAGAGAACTTTTGAAAAAATTTAGCAACCAACATGAATAAAAGTATTTACCTAATTCATGTCTGCTATTTATTTTATAGGATAATTTTGAAAATTACATAATTTAGTATTTCATACACATGGCAAATTCGTTCACAATTACCAATCTGCAATTACATGTGAATATACTCACATACGATGAGACTTTAAGAAGGGTATGCTCTTGGTCATAATGTAATTAGTAAATTAAGAGAGAATCTTTAGAAAAGCTCTCACATAATCCATAGTTATTGCCATTTTAAAGTTTTACCAATTAAAATTTTTACAGTTTAATTTTATTAAAAATATTTAATTGGTCAACATAAAGAATGGAAGCTTTTTCACTGTGGTAGAGTGAAAAATAACCCATCCTGAATAGTAGTTAACTTTAAAACAATAATAGAAATAAAGCAAAGAAATGAAGATATTAGTCATTTTAAGAAAAAGACAAAAAAAATACAGTGATCCTATTTAAAGAATTCTATCCAAGACAATGGTTGTTTATCTCTGTCCAAAGGGACATGGTTTGCATCGTTCAAGAGGTTTTCATGACTTTTTATAGCAGTCACTTTTGAGACTGTCAAATAATGTGAATAAATCATGCTTTTTCCTTGTCCACTGTTGAAGATAAAGCAGAGCTATTTTATGCTCCCCAAGTTCCCATCAATTTTGGTACCTCATGCTTCCTTCTATGGTGATAGGCCTTGTATAGAGCAAGTGCCAACCGGAAATCTCCATCCCTTTAAATTTATCACCACTCTATAGTTCCCGGTAAAACTGGGACTACCATTTTCAGTAATACTGTATTCCTTATTTACTAGAACTCATTCTAAAAACAGATAGTTTGTTCTAAGCTCAGATGGAAAATAATAACTGGTTATCCAAGTTTATTTTTCATACAGAATCATGATAGGAAACTATTTATAATACTAAAATTTCCCGTTGTGTAGTATTGTATATGCTGAAAGGGAAAGACATTCAGGCACAAAAAAGAACTACTTTTTAAAGAGGCAACATGCATAAGTGAGGACACCAGTGATTTCTTTAATTTCAAAGAACTCAAAAGTATTAAGAATGTCTCCCAATATCATCATAACGTGTTATCTGAGTTTATCACTACCTTCCAGGTAATCATACTAATTGTTATTATAAATGAAATCAGTAACGGCTTTTTCACAAAGGATAACAAGATATCTTAAACCTAAATAAACATTTTAAGTGTATTTATATCACATACCCTATTCTTCAACCCTGTCCCACTCACTCCTTTTTCTGTATCAAGTTTTTCCTTTGATGCCTGTTTTCCTTAGAACTATGTTGTCCTTTGAAATATACTTCCCTAGAGCTTACATATGCGAATATTCTTAAAATGCAAATTTTTACATTTTTGTTCACATGGAGGATACACAGTCAATCATACCTCCGTAGTTCCAATGCTCGCTCTGGATATATAATAAAAAAACTTATGAAATTATCCACAAATTTTAAGATGTGTGATATTATAATTTTACTATTTATAGTTGTTGTGATGCTTGGAATATGATTTAATCTGAATTATCTACAGATTTATTAAATACAGTATTTTATTATATTGTATTTCTATAAAATGAAAATGAGATCTTTTTCTTCTCTGATAAAATTTTGCCATTATGTCTTCAACTTACTACATACTATTCCAGTGGAAGGTTTATCCTGAACGTTCTCTGTTGCTATTTGTGGATGCTACATGGAAATAATCACCCCTTCTTCAAAACAGCTGAATCCTATTTATTTCTATGGAAAGAGAGTAAGGTTTGAATTCATAGAAATAACTTTTAATGTTTAATTTAGCATAATTAGTTCAGTTTATATCTGGTTTAATGGAATATTGACACATAGCTTACTGTTTGTAGATCAAAAAGAAAAATCCTGATTATTTTGTACTGGACAAATTTTAATATTGTAGCTTACACTAAGAAAACCTTGACTCTGTTTATTATATAATTTTTACAAGTGTGGAAACTGTGCATAAAAGTCATGTGTCACTTCTATGCCAAGGCTTTTGAAGCAGGTGTTCATTCTATATGCTCTCCTTCTTCCACTCATTGGATACATATGACTATAAGTGACATAGGTGACAATGGAGCTATAGATGGAAAATGTATAATTCTCTTATTTTGTGTATGAAGGAAAGTCCTCAACAACTAGGAAAACCTTGGACTGTAATGTAAACGAAAAATGAACTTCTACCTGTTAAGGCTCTAGAATTTGAAATTTATTTCTTATCTCAGCTTTTAAGTATCACCCTAAGTCAAACATATATACATCTACACACTTCAACTGGGATAAACCCAATACAAAAACCTAAAATATGTGGCATTAGCCTAGCGATTGGGGGCAGGTAATGTGTAGAAGTGCAGTACAAGTCTGTGCTGATAGAAACCTATATTACACAGTAAGAACATTCCTGGAAAATTTCATCTGCAGTAACTTGGAAGGCAGGTTAGGAACTGATTTCTTTGTGTTGACTGCTATTTGATGCATCTAAGAAGATACTTCCAGGAAAATGAGCTCAGGCAATAACTGGCTGGGTTGAAAACTGAAAGGAAAAGGAACAAGAGAATATAGAACTTTAGTCTTTTTAGGATTGGAAAAAGTGATTTCTTCCCCATCAAATAGAGACAAAACTAAGAAAAAACATCTTCAGCACCAAAGATACACTAAAACAGCCTAGTTAAACAAAGCCCTATGTCTGAGATATACCCAACTCTACTGTTTAAAATGACTCCAACAGTTGCCATTAAGTTGAGAGAGGCATGTGTATAAAGAGGCAAGTAGATAAACTAATAAATAAAACACACTTGAAAACTATGTCAAAGCAAGAACTTTGAGTGTAGACTTTTGTGTGTAGTTTCTGACACATGGAATTGACAAATAGATTAAAAGGATACTATGATTTTTATGCAAACTTATTGCCAACAAATCATGAGTTGGGTCTAAAAGAGCCTGTAGCTATAAAAGGATCCTTAAGCCTCCATAATAGATGAGCACCAAACAGGTATGAAAGCTGTTTAGCCACCAATAATGACTTCAGAAATTATCAGGATGATAAAAGAAGCTCACAGATAGTAGAGCCGAGGGCTACTGAGTACAGTAAGGCCACTGAGAACAGTGGATAAGAGCATCCCACTGAGTGGGTGTCCAGATCTGTTAGGGTTCCTCACAGTGCCTGCCCATCATTGTGATGGAGAACTCACAGCTGTGTGGCTCCCATTATTCTCCTTTCTTAATGGGAGTTTTCTATTTATTTCAACCATTGATTATATATTTTGTGTTAGGGGTAAATGGCTTGTCATTTAATTTGTGGGTCACCAGCTGACGAGAAGACATATTTGAACCTCAAGGAGAAAACTTTGTATATCAGATATACGAGGATGAGCACGTACATTCTACGGGTAGAGTGGTAGACTACTGCAGAGACGACCAAGTATCTACAAAAATTTGGACTTCCTCCTCCATGACAGAGAATTGTTGCTGGAAAGTGACTACGGATCTAGGAACAACATTTAACAACATCCCACCCCTATCTGCAGCTAGGTGTGGCGATATACCAGTTCTCCCTGCTGGTATGTGAAAGGAAATAATGTGTCTCTTCAGATTTGAGTTGGTTGAAAAGCACATGTGCCTTCTCCAGTCTCCTTTGACAATCTCTGAGCTGGACACAGACAACTAGGAGGCTCTACGAATGGCTGGTCCTCTAAATGCAAGAAGTCTGGATCCCTGAATCACTGTATAGAGTGGAACTCCTGTCAACCAGGAATACTAACATACATTTTTTAGTAAATTTATTAGGGCTCTTTAAGTTTTCTCTACACAAGGCCTCAGAGAGCAGGATTAGTGCAACTACAAAATCTCCAAAAAACAACAAAAAAAACCCACACAGAAACAGAAAACAAGTTAGCCTATAAGTTACAATTCCAAAGTACGCAATCCACACAAATGCTTAAAAATATAGCCAATACACAAGATCAGGAGATTAATTTAGACTCAATTTCTTTCAAAATTAATTTGAAGTTCCATAAAGAATAAAATTATATCCATAAAAGAGAAAAAGAAATTATGAAACAAAGTGGGCAGAAGTGAAACAGTAACAAGTGAGAAATAAAAAAAAACTGAATAACAAAATCTAGCGAAGATAAAGACAACTCAATAGACTGAGGTAAACTCTTAACTAGGTGTAGTGAAAATGAAAGTTCATAATCTGGAAATTAGTGCTGAGGTTGAAATATTCAAAAAAACATATTAGAGACAAAGAGGATAATATTTAAATTAGTCTCCAACAAACATCTAACAGGCATTCTAGAAATAGAGAACAGAAGAAAGTAACACAAACATACTTTTCCTCAGGTTAAAAAACACAGAATGCAAAGGAAGAAAAAATAAATCCACCTCAGTTACATCATAATGTAACTGAAGACCAAAAATATGGAAATTAAAGATAATCTCCCAAGTACTGACAATTAGACTTTCAGAAGAACATTAGCAACAATAGATTCTTATGGACAGGGAAATAATAGTGTCAAGGAAAAACAACAGTCACCTAGTATTCTATACTCAAATAAGCATTGAAGGGGGAGGGCAAAACAAAGATATTTTTAGACACCCACTAAATAAAGAGCTTAAACACTTATAGAACCTTGCCAAAAGATCGACCACAGGATACACTTCAGCAAATAGAATCCTGAACCCAGAAGAAAGCAGATGACAGAAACAACAGCATGTATAAAAAACCATTAATATATCTTGGTGTATCTAAGTGTTCACTTTATAAACCTATTAATTTTGTTTCTTTAAAAGATACAACTAAAATTCTAGAAAATATTTATAAGAAAGGTAGCAATTTCAGTCAGTGGCATGGTGTGTGACGTTTGGAAAAAGAATAGAGATGCTGAATAATTTTATCTCCCTTAGAAAAATATGTTAAGAAAGGATTTTTAAAAAATTAAGGATCGCTCCTACAGAAATATGATTTATAGCTTTCAAGTCAGCAGAGAGTAAAACAGGGACTAAAATTGAAGTTAAAATTTGGTTAAAAAAATTTACTAAAAGTGATCATTTCAAGCCAGTTTATGTCTTAACCTATTTTTAAAATTGTGACAAAGAACAAACTATAATTATTTAACTTTACTCCATCTTGCTTGGAAATAATACCTTCTATTTTTAGATTCCTTTGAGCCTCTTGATTTCACACTCTTCTCAAACTGGATGAAAGTCTGGAACTGCTTCATGAAAAAGCAGCTTTATTTAGAATTGAAGGTTATATTGTAAGAGTTTATATTTAGTTTGTGAGTACCTTTAGAAAATGAAAACACTATTTGGGCCAATAAGTCTGCCCTTTTTTTCTGATCTCAATCTCACTTTTCAGCTTTTCACCATATCCCCAAACACTCCTATTTAATGTCAGCAAATCCTGGTGTCTCAAAATCTCTTTATGCTCTCTGCTTCCACAATCATCTCTGATAACATGATTAGACAGAAGATCATAAACACAGAGCATAAATGTTTCTGAACTGCAGCAGAGGACATCCATGAAGCCTTAATAACAACACTCTTCAGGAGATCAAATCAATAGCTATGTCACCAAAGGCCCTGTATATCTCATTCACCTCTGTGAACAATAACGCAGTGGTCCAAGAACTGCCACCAAACTCTCCTCCTGAATTTTAAAGCAGCGCTAGAATAAATAAGATTTATTCTAAATTAATATCCAAGAGGAGTTTATTAGGGATTCACGTCACTTCAGAACTCACAACTGAACAAAAATTGCATTCAATTTTGCATGTTAATTGTTTCCAATTATTTCTTCCATGGAGTTAAAATATTCTTAGATATATGAAGTGAAAGACCATTTGATGTAAATTAATGCTTTATGAATCAACATTAGTTTTTAATGCAAATCTTTAGTGGAATAAATTAAGACAATTTAGAAAACGAAATCTGTAACATCATATGCCCAAGTATGAGAATTTTAATTATGAACCTATGAAATAAAATAAAAATAGTTATGAAAAATAAGCTGAGACTTGAGCCAAGAATAAAATACTGCTTATTACGTATAACAGAGTAACCCGAATTTCTGTGTTTGGTTTTAATTTTAGCATATCTGCTTAATATAACATGTTATGTCTATTTAAACTTGATTGATAACAGCACATCAAGTTATAACAGCCCCTCTCTTTTTGTGCTTCTATAAATTGGATCTAGATATACCTTAACAATATTAGAGAGAGAGGAATCACAAGTTCAAACATTCAATAGTACAACTTTTAGGATAAAATATCATAATAAATTATTTAGATGCAAATAAATATACATCATTCATTAGATATTGATAGTATGGGTAGATACAGATTTATTCTATTTTAAACTAGCTTATTGTGTTTTTGTTACACAGCAGACCAAGAGTTTTCAAATCCATTTAAGTAAATTATGAATATCCCTAAAGCCTCGTTGCAATTTTTCCTATTTATCATCTGTAACAGCAAAGTTCCAGATAAATCTACACATTTTTCCTTCACTCTCAGGAGCCTGAATTTCAGAAAGGAAGAGTAGCTACTGTTCTAATAGTGCCCATATCAGACTCCAGAAAATATATACACGGCAAAAAGGGCCCAGTTAATGAGGAGTAACCTGGGATCCTCTACACTCCATTTGGCAGGCAGGAAATAACCATCCAGGTAAGAACTCCAACGCCTGAAGTGAGGAAATGAAAGAGAAAGAGAAAGAAAGGGAGGAAGTAAGGAAGGGCAGGAGGGAGGGAAACACACCAGGACCAGACTGAGCAGTACCTAGGCTTTAGTTCTCAATATAGTATAAGTTACTGAGTGGCCCCAGGGAACAAATTCTGTTCTCAGGAACTTAGCATCCTGATTCACAAAATAAGGAATAAAAATATTTTCTAAGTGTTTCCAGACCTAAAATACTGCAACCCTCCCTGAAGAAAATTTTTCTATTTCATATAAACGAGAAGAAACAGAGCACTCCCTAGGTATACCAATAGCTTCTACCTTTAACTATTCAGTAGAGCCTGGTTCTAGTGCCTTATGATCATTCACATCAGTAAATTTCTTACCCTTCATTACACGCATGATTTTTTAAATAGTTTTTTATGTGACAGTCCTGGTGAAACAGACACATAAATAAAGTAGTACAAATTATAGCACAGAGGATGGGGAATTAACTTTGTGAGGACCCAGATATACGACATTTGTGCTAGTCCTTGAAGAATGAATAAAATTCCATGATAGAAAAAGAAAGAAGAAAGGGACACCAAGCAGCTATATGAAATATGGAAAACATCAAGAGATATGAAAAATAACATGGATTGTTCAAAAGTAATAAAAACAGAACAGAAGACAGAATTTGCCAAACTTAGGACAGAATAGGCCAGAAGAGGCCAAATCGTGAAGTCCTTTGAATAATACAGTGAATAACTACTTTTAATGGATGTACCAGAAAGAAAGACAAAACTAGAATAATTTCCTAAAACAAAACACATTAAAATTGTCATCAGGATTTACATAGTCAGCAACCTTATGGCCTCAAATATCCCAGAAGAAGCATCATACATATGAGTGAAGTTGTCTTAGATGTCTCGCCTGTTAAACCTCCAAATGATTGCAGTGCATGAGTGAGCCCAGAAAGGAGCAGCAGAAGAACCACTCCGCTGAGCCCAGTCTAGATTTCCAGACTGTAAGCAAATGGTCTGTATAAGACAAGGGGGGCTGCTGTAACAAAGAGCTAAAACTCATGGCATGTGTTTTGGTACTGAACTGACTGCGGCGGCTGAAGAGCAGGAAACCAACTGCTATTGGAAGAAATAAAAGCTCAGCCCAGGTTATGTATCAGGGAGAACAACTGGCGAGAATAGTGTCTGTGATAACTCGGAAGAAAGAAAAAGTACTTCATAACGTTGTGGGTCAAATAAGAATGTTTCTCAGATGCTGAAACTGGAAATTGGCACATGGACAATCCTTCTAAATAAGGAGGATGACTCAGAGGGCAGAGCCAAGAGCCACAGAGAACCAAGCCTGGAGCAGAACTGGGCTACAATCAAAGAACATTCCCTGCTCCTCCAGTAAGGGATCCTGACAGCATCTAGCTGGATTTCAGAATCATGATGGACCAGTGACTGTTGTGTTCCCAGCCCTCAGGAACAAGAGAATCTTTTACAATGATCCTGTCCCTGTCCTGCGTGTATTGTTTGTGTGAGGAACAATAACTTATCCTTCCAGTTCTTTGTTCTCCAGGTCAAGGGGGGCTTCAGCTATGAAGCTTCACTCGCATCTGGAACTGATTTTAATGATGCTCTTCTGGACTTCAACACAATGCCATAATGGGATAAATCTTTGGGAGGGTGTGGGTTTTTGCACATGAAGGAGGGACATTAATTATGAGAATCCAGAGGGGACTGTGGTGTACTGTCACGCTGGCAGCTCCCTATAAACATAATTCCAGGTGTTTACCCTTGTATAGTCCCCTCATATATCACTTTATGCCTAGCCATGTGAAAAACTCCCTCTTAAGCCAGCCACTGTACTGTGAAAAGGCTTGGGATAGATTCTTAATGAGAGGCCATTTACAGAGAGGCCCTGGAAGACAAGAGGTCATCTTAGATATTCCAACTCCAGTCAAGCTCCCAGCTGAATTCAGCTGCATGAGTGACCTGTTTACTCTTCAATAAGCAGAACAACTGTCCAGCTGAGCCCTGAGAAATCATAAATCATTGCAGTTTTAAGCTAATAAGTTTTGTGTTGTTTTATCTCAATAGCAATAGATAACTAAAACATATGCCTTACATTTATCTCTACCACCACCTATTAAAGTGATTAAGAGAGAGTAGGTGCTGAAAAATGTTAACAGCTTAAATAAATTAAATGTTGTTACAGAATAGGCTAGAAGGAAAGAAAATGATATATAGGTATTGTTTTTTCTTTTCCCATTATATATATATATATATGGTCACACTACTACTTGAGCTATGGTTTATTCACATAACTTCGAATTAATTTGCCATTTAGGTTACATGTAATTCAGAGATTTGGTTGTGAAATAAGTTGTTGATAGATGGCAATAGAATCAGTGATAAAAATTGTTATCAGAGGATAAAAAGAGGCAATACAAAGCATCAAGCACATACAAATAAATACTTTAAAATGGAGACTGGTGGTAGTGTAAGATAACTCTCTCTAAAAGTGAGGTCTCCACATCCATCCACTCTGACTTCCCTTGTATTTGTAAATAGCCATTTATCGTATTCAATTAGAACCAAGCATATATGCTTGTTTTCAATAGTTTTCCATATACTTCATCATTAGTTGATTATAACTACTACTTTATTTATGGATGAGGAAACTGTGATTTCAAAGTTAGTAAGCCATGGATTTAGAATTCAAGCTTAATTCTTCCAGTTTCTTTCACTCACTATAAGAAGGTGATGAACATGTGTACTGTACCCGCTCTCTCATGCTTCTACAATCAAATAAATTATAATAAAGACAAGTCATAAAAACAGGTGAGTCTAGCAGTACCTCTAGATAAGTTGATAAAATTATCATTTGTCCAAAATCATCTTTGCCCAATAACTGACAGAATTTTAAGGCATGCAAATAAGAATGAAATTTCACAGAACAAACATATTAAGTAAAAAAAATATACATCTAGCCATCAATGACTGTCACTGCCTCTAATTCTGTGGTCAAGGCGATAAAAAATAAAATATTTACTATTAGCTAATCACATAAATCCTTAGATAATTATTCTTCAAATATTTTTAAAACTTTATTTTCACCAATTAATGCCCAGCATCTACCTAATTTAAAACGTGGTAAAACTACATGGTTAGTATGTACTACTATGTTAGTACTATGTTAGTAATTTGTTCTATCCTCAGCTATTATTGTCTTCTTAATCTTATTGAATAATTATTCATATACATGAAATTTTCAATAGTACATTTTCTAGTGTAAAATATTTTATACAGCCTCCTCAAAGCATCATTTAGGACTTATTTTTGTTTCATTCTAAATCCTTGTTATAAATGAATAAAAATTTTGAATTCAATCTATATTGATAAACTTCAATGAAACATATTTTAATGATTAAATAGTGGAGGAAAGCTGGTTCATGCTTTATAAAAATATACTACAGACTTTTCATGCAAAGATTAATATTTTCAAACCATCAAACATAATCATCACTGGAGGTTCTCCTAACCTTTTCAACATTCAAGAACCCAAGTGTTTTATAAGTAGATAAAAACCTTTAAAAACTCACATTTACTACTCAATCCTTATAGGCATACAAGTATGTTTTTTCTTATTTATTCTCCTTCCTTTTAGCAAAGGATAAATTAATCTCTGATAAGGTCAGTATTCAATGACCAAACACATAACACCCAAATAAATATCCTATATGTTTTGAAAATATAATTTGAACATATAATTCATATGCTTATATATGAATTCCTCACTTATTTAAATTTCAGCGTATCTAGGTACTATTCAATTATTGTAATTCAACATGAAAGAAAGAATTATTTTCAAACTGTCTTTAAATGTCACATTCTCTATAAACTACCAAAACATGAAAGTCAGGAAGAGCCCACTCTGAATCCCTTTTGCTTTTGGTTGCTGCTATTGATGTTGCGTTCCTTTATAAAAATTAGGTGAATACAGCAATTCATGCAGCTTAACTACTTTACTGAAGGCATTGTGAAGAAGCACTTGTTATGGTGTATAACTTATTTTACATTTTCATATACTATCCCAGGAGTAAAAGAATCAGAAATTATCTTACAGTTAATGAGTCCATTTCTCCCACCATTAATTTTGTCAGTAATAAACAGCATTCAAAAATTTATTATTTGAAAATAAACATACAACAAATTTACCTTAAAAACATCAGCATTTAAATGCATGATATATTTGAATGTTTCTTTCTTACCATGGCAAGAACCCTCAATTTCTTCATATCCTGTACTGCAGATACACCTTCCAAGAGGAACCAGCCAATCGCCATCAGCTCCACAATACAGTTTAGGAGTGTCACGCTCTTCCGCACTCTTCACACAAGAGCCCCTTACTTCAACCAAAGAGGAAGAATCAACCCTTGGGATGGTGTCTGGAAACATGGCCAAGTTACGGACAGTGAAGGGGCACTTTTTGTAGAAAACACGGACTGAGACCAGGGCAATGCACGCCCCGATGTCTTGAAAAGCCAGATAAAATCCTTTCCTTTCTATAGGCCCCACCTCTCGAATTTCCGTGTTGAGCTTGAGAATGCGATCACCCAAATCCATCTGGGTAAAACTTTCATCAGCAGCAATTGTATCAATCTTGGTATACTGGCTTGGCTTAAATTTAATTCCGTGGGACTCATCTGATTCCACATAATACAGATTAAATGTTTCTTTGCAAGTCCCCAAGACCCATGGGATGCTGTTACAGTCTCTCAGGGTGAACTTCATTTCTACATAGATTTTCTGAGCTGCATCACGGGAGATCCAGTTTGTACGAAGCCAGTTGTTTTGGTTTGGCTCCATCACATTGCATACCTGGTACGTGTGAATGGGCCTATTGTGTTCATCCATTTCAGTGATGGCATCCCACTGCAAAAAGAAAAAAAAAATTAAATGATTATAAAACCACAGTGGTTAAAGAGATACGATTACTTCCAAAATTTTCTGTTTTAGCAAAAGAAAAATGAATAAAAAGGCTACAAATGAAGCTACTCAAAGGACAATGCAGCAGGATTTTAACCATGAGCTTTAGTTAAGAGTATGGGTTCTGGACATACCATCTGTCCTGGTATGAATTTTATCTTCCTACACATTACCTACCTGAGCCAAGGCCACTTAATTTAACCTCTAGTTTCCTCAACCGTAAAATGGAGCTGATAAATAGCACCTGTGTCATAGGGCTGTTGTGAGGCATAAATTAGTTAACATATGTAAAGCGCCTTAAATAGTTCTTGGTACACTATAGGAACATAAAATACATTCATTATCTGATCAAATAACTAGACTGCTGACAAATGTACTCTGGTTACCCATCTGTCCTCATATCCAATTTACCACAAATTGAAGTATATTTACCAGTTTTCAATTAAGTATTCACACATCTATTTTGATAGAAAATAGACATAGATAAGGCCTTAGATTTATTAAAGGAATATTTATCAGGCACTATTCTGGACATTGGGAATATAGGAGTGAACTAGCTGAACACTATGTTTACGGAGCTTACTTAGGGTGAGGGGAGACAATAAACATCATAAATGAGTAAACTGAATAATATGATAGAAAGTACAATGGGAAAAAATAAGGCAGAGGGATGGAGAAGAGGGTTGTAATTTTAAATAGGGTGGCCAGAGAAGGCCTTACTGAAGCAGTGACATTTCAGCAATGTCATGCAAGTAAGATAGTGAACTTTGTGAAGAGGGAACAGTAAGTACAAATACCCTGAGGCAGGAATGTACAGGTATATTTAGGAACAGCATGAGTGGGCCCTGGACAGAGAGGCAAAGAAGGGGCAAAAAAAAAGCTTTTACCGGCATTTTAAGCACTTTGGCTTTTACTTTGAGCTAGATCATTGCATTATCTTCACTTCTGCTTGTTTACATAAAAACATTCTGCCACTTATTTGAATAGAAAGCCCTTGTCTATCCTCTTTATAAAATTTAATAAAAATCCTTTAGTACTTTGAAATTAATTGGCATTATCAGTATTTATACATCTAATATTGCATAATTGGATACTATATATTTAGAATGTAATTATATTTTATTTGTGTAGTTATAGTTATAATAATTTTCAATAACAAAAAAACATTCTAGTAACTTTATAGCCTTTTTGGGAAAACATGCTAGTCATTATAGTTTCTCATTCTATTAAAATGTACTGGAAATGATAAACTGTCTTCTATAGTGAATAAGTGTTCTATTTCTTGATACCATACTTCAGTGATTTATAATAAGATTATTTAATGCATTCTGTTTGCAGTTTCTCATTTTAATTGGCTGTAGAGAGTCACTTAATCAAGGCCTGGCTGAATTTCAATTAGCATAGCTTCTAAAAGAATGGCTACTTTCTTCAGGCTCAAGGACTATTATGACACTAAGTATTTTCAATTTTCTACTGTACATTTCCACAAATAAAGAATTTATATTATCCATCATGCAAACTTAAAAACAATCTGTATCTAAAAATTTCATTCGTAAGTTACTTGCTTGAAATTCAGAGGGTATTTTCCAGAAGAAACAATGAGCTCCTTTGGAACTGTGGATACAATGTTGAAAACACACCCACTGTCTATCAGGGGTGATCCAATAATCTCATGGAGACACATGAAATTACTTGTCTAAATGACTTTCATGCTAGTGTATCATGGGCCTTTTGTGACTCCTACACTTAAATTTAAAGGCAAACCAGCACTATCATAGCTCATTTAAATGGCAAACTAACCATTCAGAATATAACTAGCGAAACAAGATGCAAATAATAAAATCTGAGAACCGTAAAAATCAGCGTCCAAAATTCTAAGCATTTCACCCATTGGAGAGCCTCTAAGGTACTCATCCAGTGATTATTCTTATTTTAGATACATTTCTAATCAGAACTAATTTTGTTTCTCAGGGAATGCATGTATTTATTATTACCTACCTTGCATCCTCTACTCTCTCATACAGTAATATAAAGCTATACTCTCAATAAATTGTTTAAATAGTTATACTTTAGCACCTTCAGATTATATCTCTTCATATTAATAAAAAGTATTAGACACGCTCATCAACCAACCAATTCTGCTAAAATAGCACATTAATTTAAAATGTGAAAATTTGCCACTTACGACAAAAAAAAATTCTAAAATCACTATATATCTTTATTTAAAAATATGTTGGGTTTGGGAGAAAAAATGTTTGCATGGAAAGAAGGTCAGGAGAAGAATATAATATGCATTCACTTAATTAGGACTGATCTGAACCAAGGGATAAGGAAATGACAAAATACAAGCAGATAATGAGAAACGTGGTTCTTCTCAAAGACACTGCATAAGGATGCTTAACAAAATTGTGTGTAATTTTCTATATTAAACCTGTGATGTTTGATGAACAATAGTGTTTCTTCTCTCTTTAATTTTAAGAAAATAAATCATAATTAAATTCAGGTAACAAAACTGTCAAAACGGATCAATTGCTAAATTTCATCTTATTGAAGAATGTTGAAAGTAATTTAAATTAGACTTTTAAATTTGAATCTGATTGACTAAAACAAGAATATAAATTCAAGATTGGTATAAGATCTAAAAGGCTATGAAGTTTACTAAAAAATTAACATCAGTAGATGTAGAAATGGTATCATATTTTAGGCATAACGTATCCTTCGGAAACATTGCATTTACACATAGTTATATTTGTATTCACATAGCTGTATAACCTTTTGGTTATTTTCAAGTATTAAAATAAATAATGCCTCTAGAAATCATGAGCCTGAGGTAATAAGAATGGGAGTATGAGGGCTCACATACCATGTCTAATTACTGAAAATGATGAATCATTCTTTAAATAACATCAAACTTGAAGTATGCTCTATTTGCCTACTTTGCAAAGATACCTCCATAACAACATGGAAGGCTAGGTTCAAATATAGAATGCTTGGCCTCCTCTGAATTCCATGACAGCATGTGTAAAGCATAGAGAGCCAGCCTTTAATCTTAGTCAATCCCACTTCTATTCCCTTCCCAGACTCAAGCGCTACCCCACACCATGCAGGGCTTCACATATGCACATATATGAGCATCCCAGCCCTCATGTCCAAGCTGTACCCCTCTCTTGCTACAAAAAGCTGCCAACTTTGGCCCTCCATTCAACCTAGGTTGAGCATACCAGTGGCACAGTATACCCACTGGAGGATGGACCCCAACAAGAAGCCATGAAGTTCTTGAAAGAAGACCTGAAGCCATCTGAGCAAGGAATTCTGGGGTCTTACCTACAGCATGATATAGAAGGAAAGCACAGGATCTAAGTGGCATATCTCCTTATCCTTCAAGGTCACAGTTTCACGAAGAGAGGTATAGCCAGAGAAGGGAATGGGCAAGACCATCTGAAACTCTAGGAACAGAGCAGCATCTTCCCTTCCCAAGTCTAAAGATGGTAATGATAAAAAAAACCAATTTGGAATATAAGACACTGTAATTACTCTTTAATATCAAAGAGAGTTAAATATAATATTCTAAAAACCTCTGTGTTTGACTTCCTTATTAGGTGATTAATGTGAACATTTACCTCAAAAATCTTTCACTTCTTAATGTACGCTGTGTCCTACAGATTATGTGTTAATAAGCAATCAACAATATTTAGTGAATTTATAGTATGTGCTAACTTCCATAAGGGAAATGAGTAAAGAAGATATCAGGCTTGCTTGCTCTTACTGGACTTATATATTTAAGGTAATAAATTATGAAAACATAATTGACAGCACAGATTTGAATGCAACAAACAAACAAACAGTATATATAGTAAATATACTAAGTGTTCAAAGGATAGCACCATTCATGAACTGGGGTGGTTTGGGTGGTTTGGCCAAGAAGGACAGACTTGATTCAACCTTTAAAGAACTGTAAGATTCAATAAGGCAGAGGGAGAAGAATAAATAGAAATTCACATATAATACTAATCTATATGCAGATACTTTTTGGCAACTTTAGTCCTGTACCACACATATTCAGTGAGTAAAAGTTTTTGCTTCTATTTAAAACAAACACATAACTTATTCTCCAGCTGTGAAATATTTAGATGTACATAAACCTAGTAATTGTAGAAGTTACAGGATGAAAATATGTATTAAACCTGTCATTAATTCTGCTATTAAGTTGGTCAATTTTGTCTGCTGCTTTCTGTTACATAATAGGCATTGAACCCCAAATATTCAGATTCTTCAATTTCATGTTTTCCTAAAATATTTTTTATGTAGGACTTAAAATAAAATACCAATATATAAAACAATTTGCCAATATATAATGTAGAAAAGAGCTCAGTAAAGCAAAAATGAAATCATACATGCTTCTGAAGAGTAGAATATCTTGCAAACTATATCTGCTCATACGGTCTGGATGAGTAGAACAGAGAGCTTCTTCTGCCTCATGGTCAATTTATAAGCCCTCTCTTTAGATCAAGGAGTGGATAGACGAATTACAAAAGGATGGATGGAAAAGTCTTGTAACTTAAAGTATCCTGCTCAATGAGAAGTTTTGGTTAAGGAAGAATCAGTTATACACGAAAGGGTTCTTTCTTTCATAAACTTCAGGGGTACTCTGGATATAATGACTCCTGAGGGCAACTATTTGTATACTGAATTTATACTTGTCAAAGCTTCTTCACAAATGTTAACTCATTTGTTCCTCATAATCCAACAAAGCAAGACAGATATTTTCACTTTGACATTACTGATTAGGAATCCAATACACCTAGGAATTAACATAAATGCCCAGTGTTGCATGGACCAAGGACCGGAACCAGGCCTTCTAACTTTATTTTCTGTATTTTATGATGTTTTGCTGGTGGACTTGCAGCCTGGGAGAGACCGCCCCTCCCAGGGCTAGCCAGTTCTTA